GGTGGGTCCCTCCCGTCCCTTCCCTCGCAGACCTTTCGGGTTTGGGGACAAACACCTCGGATTTCCCCTAAAATCCCCTCGGGAGGGCTCCGAGTCCCCGGTTACTTGTGGTTCCTCCGGGAAGGGCTCGGTCCGCGCCCGCCGTGCAGCTGGAAGGGAGAAAATAACGTGGGTTTGTTTTCGTTTGTTTTCTGTGGCGGTTTCGGAGGAATTTGATGCTTCAGCGGGGCAGGAATTGAGCGAGGGGAGCAGAGTCGGAGCGTGGGGAAGGTGGTGGCTCGTGGGCTCCTCAAACCGCAGGAAACGGGGCTGAAATGTTGGGAAAGGGTTTATTTATCCCATCAAACCATCAAAGCCCTGCCCGGGCTGGGGCGGAGAGGGCACATGGAGTCCTTTCCCCCCTTTCTGCGGCAGGTATGGGGACAGAGCCGGCACAAGGATCGGGGTTCAGGGCTCGCTCGGGTGCAGGAGCGTGGCCGGGCTGCGTGGGGGGCTCTGGACCATCTGGCTGGGCTCTGCTCGTGTTCTGGGTTCAGTCCCGAGGTTCCGGCTGTTCCTCCCCGTTTCTCCTGGGCAGGGCGGTGTCGGCTCCGTTTTTCGTCTCCGGTCATGCCTGGCAGAGTTTGTGGAGTTTAGCGGCTTTTGCTTCCCGAGCCTTTTCCCAGTCTCAATTAACAAAGTGCGTTTCCAGCCAAGCCGGGATTAGTCAGTGCTGGAAGAGCTGCTGCAGGGACAGCCCTGGAGCTCTGGTGTCCCTCAGCCTTTGGCTTTCTCTCTGCCTTGGGACAGTCTTGTTTTTTTAGAATGGGAGGTTGGTGAGGAGAGAGAGACAGCCTCAGAGCAGGGGTAGGAAATCCAGGTGGAGTGGATTCTCTTTTAGGAAAAAACATCTTGGTTTTGGGCAAGTGGAAAGGGAGAACCCACCTCACACAAAGGTTCTGTGCTCCAGCAGCCCTCCCCTGGCTGTGTCACAGCCACCAGTGAGCTCCCAGACCTGGGGACAGCCCCTGTGTGGGGATTCTGTGGTGCCTGTGACACATCCAAGCATGAACTGGAGCATAAACTCCTCGCTGTCACCTTTGTCCCTTGTGTTGCGGTGACCTGCAGCTCCGGGGCTGGTTTGGGATAACGAGGGGTCACTTCTCTGTGCATTTTTTCCAGGAGTTCCCTACAGTTTGAGTTTTTCCAGCCCAGCTGACCTGTGTGGGGTGTGGGTGCTGCCAGCCCCAGGCAAGGGGAGCTGTGCTTTTGTAGCTACCTCTGCCTTCCTTCTGCTCATCCATCTGCCTCTCGTGCATCATCCTGTGCTGCGGCGTGTTTTCCAGGCAGTTATTTATTGCTCCTCTCTTCTCTTTCTGCCTGGGGTTTTGAGGACCTTCAGTGGGGAGAACAGGGTGGACACCAGAGGAATTTCCCCATGGAAAGGAGCTCAGGCCTCGGCAGGGGCTGCCCAGGGAGGTTTGCAGTGCCCATCCCTGGAGGTGTCCAAGGAAGGGCTGGACATGGCACTCAGGGCTCTGGGCTGGGGACAGGGTGGGGATTGCACCTGGTGATTTTGGAGGGCTTTTCCAAGTTATAAAGATACAAGTTATCAGTGAAGCAGCTCCTTGTGTGGAAGGATTTTGCATTGTTAAACCACAAATAGGCAGTTTTACATTTACCAAACTTGGCTGTTTTCTGCCCTTTTTCCTCAGCCAAGGTGAATGTTGCATCGAAGGTGCTGTGCTGGCACTAGAGAGGATGAATTTCATTGTAAGGGTCATGCAGGGTGGAGTAAAGCACTCAGTATGTGGAGGAGGGCTAATCCAGCCTTGTTGTCTGGTTTGGGCAGTGAATTCCAGGTGCTGCAGTTTGGGGTGGGGCAGGGAGCTGTGAGGTGTCTGAGGAACAGCTGTGGGCACAGGTCTGTGAGATAACAGAGGCTGGTGGCTGTGGTGATAAGAGGAGCTGGGTGAGGCAAGGAGAAATAATCTGATTTCCCAGTCTCCTCCACACAAGCAAGGCCGTGGCTTTCTGGGAGAAAGGACAGGAGGCTCTCAGCAGAGCCACACTCTTCATTCCTTCCCTTCATTTATTTTCTCTCCGTGCCACACTCGGGAATATTTGATGGGCCCGGGATCTGGGTTGATTGATGGCTGCAGGTGGTATCCAGCACTCCTGGCTGGGGTTCCCTGCTCCACGGGAAGGTTCTGCCCTCCGGCATCGCACACATGAATCCGTCAGTGCCTGCATCCCCGGCTGAGTCACCTCCAGAAGAGCCCGTGTCTGGTGCCTGCCAGCCGGCAGAACTGCCACAAACCAGACAATCAAAAGGCAGCAAAATCCAATCAGTTTGTTTTAAGAGTGGAGCAGAATGGGTCAGGAGTGGATTAATCTGTGCTGCTAATGGACATGGCGCGAGTGCCAGGCGCTTAATTCATTGTCTGGGATGTAAGGCCAAACGCTCATAAATCCAATCCCAGCGAGATGACAGAGGTAAAGCCTCACTTAAACTGATTAACTTGTCTCTTCCAGAGTGTCTGCAAAGGGAATGTGCCATTTCAGATTTGGGTGTGCTGCTGGGATTTATGACCCACTGGCTGTCGCTGCGGCGGCGCCGACTCAGGCCAGCAACGTGAGAGGCTGTGCCAGGCTCTGCCAGCACCAGCTGCCCTTGGTGCTGCCGGTGGCCTGGGGTAGAGGCCACTTCCAAACAGCTGCACGTGGGCCCTGAGGGGGACCTGCGTGTGAGGCAGTGCTGAGGCTGCACACTGTCGTGCTGGGGAAAAATCTCGTGCCTAGTTCCATCGTGTGTTTGTTTTTCTGGTTCTCTCATTGGTGCCCTGTGAGGTTCTGGTCATTTCTGTTCCTCCTGCCTTGTCTTGTCTTGCCTTGCCTTGCTGCTGTGCTACTGCCAGGTGCTACAGGCAGAGTCTGTGTTAGATGCTGAAGTGGCTGGAATGAAGCAATGGAAGTCTGTAGTGTCAGCCAGACCTTAAGACAGGTCACGATTGGTTTTTTGGGATCTTGTTGGATCTGCTCCCTGTGATAGCATCAGGCAGAGCCACAGCCCATCCACACCAGGAATGCGAAAGCTTCTCCCACATGGCTTGGCCAGTCCCAACCTGTGGGAAACATGTTGTTGCTGAACTGGCCTTTTCCAGCCCCAAAGAGACGGGGTTTGGCTAAACAATGTGATATTTGTGAAACTGGATCGTGTGCCTGAGGGGTTTAGGCCAAGTTCTCCATACTCTGGGCTGCTGCCAGGGCAGGAGGCGGCTGAGCCGATCTGCCTGATCTCGCTGTGCTCCACTGATGGCACAGAAACCTTTGTATTGCCAGATACCATTGCTGGGGACCTCTGTTCCAGTTTATGTTACATTTTGGGCTTTCCTACAACTCAGGGCCTCTGTAGGTATTACAGGTCTGATGTTCATGGAAACGTTCTGTGGGGATTATTCACCTTTATCTCAGTGGGTTTATGTTTGGTCTGTGGACCCCCTGTTAAACCAGGTTATCAAAACAGAAATGGATATGACTTTGTGTTTTGTAGTCACAAGAAGTGAATTCCCTGCATGGCCTGGTGGCAGTCTCAGGAGCAGAGCCTTTGGGTGCTCGGAGTCTGGAGAGTTGCATCACTGGAGTGAACTGGAAAGCACTGAGCTAATGACTGAGGTCCCTGTAAAACTGGTTATTCTGGGGAGCAGTGCTGTGGGAAGAGGCAGAATGAAGGATATAGGGCTGGATTATCCCTGGATTGGTCTGCACTTGGTCCAGAGTCAGGGGGTGCTGGGGCAGGGAACGCTGCAGAAAACGTCCATGGCTTGTGTAATGGTAGAGTTTGGAGTTTGGGAATGTGGACAGACAGTCCCAGTCAAGACTTGCTTCCCTGTAATGATCTTGGCCTCTGATCAGGAGAGACTGGCTCTTCTCCGTGGTGCCAGCTGTTAAACCACAGCTGGATTTCAGCAAGACCAGCCCCATGCTGTCCAGCCATGAGTGTTTGAGGCCGAGCCTGTGAGGACATCACACCTTCCCTTCTGAGACTTGAGACAGATCCAGAGGATTTACTGGAATGTTTGTGGTTTTTTCTCCTATAACAAAATAACATCTTGCACTTTTTAACTTTTTCTCTGCTTGGTGTGGTGCTGGTGGCTGTCCTGGCACAGATTGTTTATGCGGAGCGGCCGCTGACCGACAACAACAGGTCCTTGGCTTCCTATGGCTTGAAGGACGGGGACGTGGTGATCCTGCGCCAGAAGGAGACGGTGGAGCCACGGCCTTCCATGCGCTTCCCAGGTGAGAAAGGCTCTGTGCCAGCACTGCCTGAGCCTGCAGAGATTCATCAGCACTTACCCAACACCAGCTCCTGTCAGCATCCTTTAGCACCTTCTGCACAAAGTGCTGAGGGAGGGAGCGTGGCTGGAGTGAGTCGGGGGCTTGTAAATGACCCAGAGGGCTTCTGATTCAGTGTTTTATTCTGAGGAAGCCAATACCATTTTACTGTTCCTTTGGGGAATGTGGAGGCACTGAGTGGAGAGGTGACTGGTTCAGAACAGGCTTGGTAAAGGTGGCTGAGTTTCCCTACAAGTGCCTATTCCCTTCCTGCTGGATGTGATGGCAGAGGCGTGTGAGTGGCTCAGACCCAGGAACAGCCTCTGTGCAGGTATGTCCTGAACCTGTCCTGTGGCACGTTCCCTGGGAAGCCACATCTTGCCAAACTTAGTGGCTTAATCGTGTGTGCGTGCCAAAGGCTCTTCCGAGAATGCCTGAGTGGAGCCCTGCACCTCTGTCCTACCTTCCAGAGCCACTCCTTGTAAATCCCAGTCATAAAATATCCCTAGAAAGGGTGCCACAGGCTGGGAAGGGCGTGGGAGCTTTGCTGAGGTCCTCATCCTGCCTCAGCTGGAGGATGGGTACCTGCAATGCAGGTCTGCAGGAATGGTACTCCTTTTTTTTAACCCAAGAGACTCCAAAGTGCCTCAGATCCAGTGGGTTTAGCCCTGCAGAGTCTCTCCATGAGGGATTCCCATTTGTGAAGCTGGGAATAACTAGTCAGCAAGTGCATTTCAGGGGATTAAAAATGGGGCAGACAGGCGAGACCAGTTATGTAAATGCAGCAGCGTTGCTAACCCAGTAACCCTGGGACGTGGCTGCGCTTCCGACACGAACCGCTGCTCAGGGAATCTGCTCTCACGCAGCATCGAGGGCAGCTCGGCCTTTCCATGGGTTTTCCAGCAGAACTGCAAGCACCAACAGCTCTGCTCTTGCTTTCAGGTCTGCCCAGGATAGATTTCAGCAGCATCGCCGTTCCCGGGACGTCCACGCAGCAGCAGCAGCAGCCCCCGGCGCAGCGCCCGCGCCCTTCGCCCCCGGACGCGCCCCCGCTGGCTCAGGGCCTGGAGAACCCAGCGCTGCTGCGGGAGATGCTGCTGGCCAACCCCCACGAGCTGTCCCTGCTCAAGGAGCGCAACCCGCCCCTGGCCGAGGCCTTGCTGAGCGGGGACCTGGGTGAGCTGGGCCTGCAGCTGGGTGGGGTCGGCTCCGGCAGAGGCAGCCCCGGGTGTTCGAGGAGCTGGGATGAGCTGCAGGTTCTTTGATGGTGCAGATGAAAGCTGCCAGTTGGGAGCACTCAAGGCAGAGTTCTGCCATTTCTGGGTGTATTTCTCCTGCTTGGCATCTTTAATATCCTCTTTAATGTCCTCCTCAGAAATATCAGGTGCACAGATCATTTGGATGTTCGTGAACACAAGTGACTCAGCTCCTGATTTTTACTCTAAGACACTCCTTACTGCACATTTTCCAGTGAAGGTGCTGTGTTTGCTGCATCCCAGATCCTGCAGCACACTCCAAACCCAGCTCTGTGCATAGTGATCACGTGCTGTGGAAGTGAACTGCAGAAAGAGAGAGGGAATGGAACAAGGAAATGGTGTCTTTTGGGAACTTTCTCAATAGAAATTGTCATAAATGTTTAAGTTTTTGTTAATCTCAGAAATGTCTGTGTTTTGGGCACAGTTGAAATCTCATCCTTCAATTCCTCTGCAGCTGATGTTGGTCCCTTGTTCTTCCTGTGGTGAAAGATTTGAACTCTGGTGCCCTTTAGGTATGAAAAGAGAGAGGAGTTTTGGGCAGCAGCAAATGAGCTCCTGAACCTCTGCAGGATGTGTAGCTGGGAAATAAATCCTGTTGAGTGAGGACAAATAAGTTAAGAGAAGGAGCTTCTAGCAGGAGATTTTATCCACTCTCAGGGTTACACCTGAGTGATTTTTGTTAGAGGAAACCAGAGAGGAATTTCCATGGATGTTGTCAGCCTGTTTTGTTTTGAACTCTGCCTTTAGTTGATCTCCAGAGCTGAAGGTACATTCTTGGTACTCTCAGGCTTTTCCACACATCTTGCATGTTTTCCCCATCACCCCAAGCAGGGGTGCTGCTCTTGGCACAGGAAGGCAGAGGTTAAGCCCAAGGCACCCAGAACTGGCTCCTCTGCTGCTCTGCCTGGCCTGTGCCCATCAAGCTCTGACCCAGATGTGCATTTTCAGTCCCAAGCTGCCGCATTGGGCTTGCAGGAGGAAGTGGTTTGGGCTGGTTCTGCCCTTGATGTGCTGCACTGCTGCTGCTGGGAGTGTTTGGGCACAGATCCAGCTCAGCTCCAGCTTGGATTCCCAAATGTCTGCATAGATCCGTGCCCTGTGCTGTGCTGGATGAAGGCACCTGCTGTACAGAAGCCTGATTTCAAAAATCCAAGAGTCAAATATACCCAATGCCTCCCTGAGCACATAACAGCCTTTGAATCAGAGCTGATTCCTGGGAATGGCATCTCTGGAAGCAAACCCAAACCTTCCCTGTGTGCAGACCTGCACAGACTGCCAAGTCCTTTTGGGGATGTACGTGCTCCCATTCAAGTAGTAAAAAGTGGCCAGAGGCCATCCAGAAAGAAGGAATCTAAAAACTGTGGTCTTAAAATGGGCATTTAGACCTGGCTAACACCACCTGCTTCCAGTGGTAGGCATTCAGCTTTAGGGATTATAATCCTTGGTTTTGCCACGTTCCTTGGGTTTGAAGGAAGTTTTGTCATTAGCTTTTGTGTGTTTTTTTAAAATCTTTTTCCCTATAAAAATGCATGTGCCAGGAAATTGAGTTTGATTGTGCAGTGTTTGGGTAGGGACATGAGGAGAGCGAGCTCTTTTCATCTCGGCAGGTTCCCAATTTTGCTGCTGATCCTCTGAGGTCCATCCGTGCTGTCCTCAGACGAAGCTTTTTTCTGTGTGCTGCTGAGTCTGTTCCTCAGCTGGCATCAAAAGAAGCGTTTGCTGTGCCAGAATTTGATTTGCAAGAGTAATTTCCAGTAAAAAGCATTTCTTTATCTCCTTGTTCCCTGCAGAGAAATTCACTAGGGTGTTGCTGGAGCAACAGCAGGACCGAGCCCGGCGCGAGCAGGAGAGGATCCGGCTCTATTCCGCTGACCCCTTTGATCTCGAGGCACAGGCCAAGATAGAAGAAGACATAAGGTAACAAAGCAAGGGCTTGGAGCAGCCTGGGATAGTGGAAGATGTCCCTGCCTGTGGCAGGGGGTGGCACTGGATGAGCTTTAAGGTTTCTCCCAACCCAGACCATTCTGGGATTGCCTGATATGAGGTGACAGCACTGTTGTCTGTGCGTGTGATGTCAGCTGCCTGAGCTGGTCCACTCTGGAGCACTTGTGGAAAGCACATCTTCTCTTGAGAGGTGTGAGTCTGGTGCCTGGGGCGTGTTTGGAATCCGAGAGCTGGCTGGTGCTGTCTCCCAGCTGAGCTCTGCACCACAACACAGCGATGTTTCTCCCGGCTGCTCCTGAGATTTGGTTTTGCATCCTGATAATTGTTCTGTGTCTGGCTAATTCACTGATGAGAGGTTCTGTAGAAATGCATCCTTGCTCATCAGCTCACTCCCTCTTGCTGCCTTCCAGATGTAATTGTGTTGGGCTGAGGCTTGATTTCTTCAGCTGAGTGCTAAATCCTGGGCTCGGTTCATGGCTGTTGGTTTTCCCCTGATAACAAAGTGCCTGTCTGGTACAGACCCATTGTTGGTCAGAACCAGAATTCACTGGTGATAGGAGTGGTCTTACATTACAACTGACAAGGTGTTGGTGCCAGATAAACACTCAGCAATGCAGAAAACAGACATTTGTAAATAGCCAAATGTTGCTCAGAGGCACAGGAACGCTTCCCTTCTTCCTTAGATGAGGGACAGATAAAGACAGCAGCTGTTGGGCTGAGCCATCCCCAGATTTCACACCCCACTCAGTGACAAATGAAATGGCATCAGAATTAAAGCCTTTTCCCATTTTTGGGGGAGATAAAGCTGTTTTGGATGCAGTCACTATGGGTGCCCATCACTTCCAAGATTATTCTGGGGCTGTGAGGGATTTCTTGCAGAGCATTTTTTCTGTCAAATTTGCACCAAGGGCTGGTGCTTGTGTTCTTTCTGCCATTTTGCTCACCTCCCTCCTTTCCTATGCCTGGAAAAGATACCAGGGAAACCAAAGGATTTTAATGTTCAGCTGCTGTGTGGGATTCCAGTGATGTAGCTATTGCCAGCATCTTTGTGTACTCTCAGCATGACTAATGAATCCACAGGTTTTTTGCTCTGAGCCCTCCAGGTTAATGTGGATGGCAGGTTCCTGTTGGCAACACAAGGCTGTCAGGAGCTGAGGTGTGAGTTAGGCAGGGATTGGAGGGGGCAGTGGCTGCTGGGGAGTGACTCAGTGTCTCTGGACTGAGATCATTCCTAGCATTCAGCTCCCAGGTCTGTGTTTCACTAAGGAAGCAGCCTTTGCTGTGGTTTAAATGTGTGTTTGTAAGGTGAGCAGCAGCAGGTGGGATTTCCAGGTCTGTCTGTGAGTCAGAGCGATGTTACAAAGTCTGGTAGACATAAATATTTTGATTTTTCTCTCTCTTCTCCACAAAACTCAGGCAACAAAATATTGAAGAGAACATGACGATAGCAATGGAAGAGGCACCTGAGAGCTTTGGGCAAGTGGTGATGCTCTACATCAACTGCAAAGTCAATGGACACCCTGTGAAAGCCTTTGTGGACTCAGGTGCTTTCTCCACACTCTGTCACTGAGGGCAACAGTAAACATTCCAGTAGTTTTCCCAAAGAATCCTATAATAAAGCACTGCATGACAAGATTTTAGAGCACTTTACTGAGCCCTGAGCACAGCCTGGGTGAGCAAAGCAGATTGTTGAAAGAAGCAGTGTGGGAACACCCTGGATTAGAGCTCCTGGGAGTTTCTGGGACCTCCATGCCTGGAGGGTCACTGCCACATGTGTGTGTGCTACCCCATTTTGCAGACAGGGATTTCACCTTTAATGTGGTGGCTCCCATCCACACCCTGCAAGGGGAAGTTCTTGGGGTTGTTCCATCCCTGTGTGTGGGCAGCCAGGTCAGCACTGTGGGGTTCACAGGAAGCCTGTATGCCCTGGGGCAGGTGGGTTTCCCAGCCACTGAGTGCTGGATCTTAAGCCCTTCCAGGAGAAAATAAAAGTTTATGCTGAGGATTTAACATGAGGTGTGTTGCTGGTAGGTGCCCAGATGACCATCATGAGCCAAGCCTGTGCTGAAAGGTGCAACATCATGAGGCTGGTGGATCGGCGGTGGGCTGGCATTGCTAAGGGTGTTGGGACACAGAAAATCATTGGCAGAGTGCACTTAGGTAAGTACTGGCATTTTTGGGGCAGCTTTATCAGGGCGTGACTGCATTACCTGCAGTCTTGGCACTGAGGATTGGTGCTTTGTTAGGAGATCCTGCAAAGTAAAATCAAAGTGCATCTGCAGTGTGTTTGTCTTGGGCATTCTTGGGAACTCTGTTTTCTGTCTCATTTAATGCTGTGTTTTAATGGCATTACTGTAACACTTTGAGGTGAGGGAGTCCCAGCTCCTCACATGTACAGGACACGTTTGGGGGCAAAACCCAAGGTGAATGTGGAACACCCCCCCTGTTTCGGCTGGAACTGCTGAGCAGGGTGAGCTACTCAGGAAAGGTTCCAGCACAGGACAGTGTCTGCTCTTCCTTTGGAAGGAGAAGCTCTCTGTGCACCTTTTCTGGATGGAGGACATTGTCCTTATTACTGAAAAATCAATTCTGTTTGCTGTTGCTGCTGCTTAGACTTGTGCTCTAATAATCTGTTTGCAAGCCCTTAAGCTTGGAGGGTCAGGGAAGCAGGACTCAAGGTTCTTAGGCACATCAGCTTTTAAAAGAATTAATCTGGGACCATGGCAGGCCTGGCAGTCCTGGGGCTTGCACAGGGCCAGACATTCTGTGCCCAAGACAGTGCATCAGAGTGTTGGTTTCAGATCCACCCAGACCTTTCCCTGGAGGTGGAAGAGCAGAAAGCTCCATTTTGTTGTGCTGAAGTGGGAATTTCTCTCCCTTGTGTTTCAGCTCAGGTGCAGATTGAAGGGGATTTCCTGGCGTGCTCCTTCTCAATCCTTGAAGAGCAGCCCATGGACATGCTCCTAGGACTGGATATGCTTAAGAGGCATCAGGTATCAAAATTTCTTTTGAAACAATTACCTGGCTCTTGCAGGTTTAGTGAGAAGTGCAACATAAATGCCTCTCCTGTGAGTTTGTAGGATTTTCCTGGGGAGAGTTGACGGTGGATTATTTTCCTGCCTGGAAGCACAAACACTGCATCCATCAGGGACAGCTCTAGGGTGTCTGGCTGCTGCCTGGAGCTCTTTGCTCTGATCACAGATGTGCAGAGCTTTCCAGCTGAATGATTTATTGAGTCAGACAGGGCCCTTTGGTTGGAGCTGATACTTCTGGCCCACCCTCACCTGCTGTGAGCCGCTCCCGTTGGAGGCAGATTGCCTGACCTCGAGTCTCCCTTTCTCTCTGGGAGCCACCTGGCTCCCCGCAGGCCCCTGATGTGGCGATGCTCTTTTGCAGTGCTCCATTGATCTCAAGAAGAACGTTCTGGTGATCGGCACCACGGGCTCCCAGACCTCGTTCCTGCCCGAGGGCGAGCTGCCCGAGTGCGCGCGGCTGGCGTACGGCGCGGGGCGCGACGACGTGCGGCCCGAGGACATCGCTGACCAGGAGCTTGCAGAGGCAATACAGAAATCCGTAGAGGAAGCAGGTACCGGCAGGAGCCCAGCTGAAATAGGAATCTGTGCTTTTTATTTTTTTGCTGCATGTCAGGATGTCTGTGAACAGTTCTCCTTCCAGTTCCTGGGAGCAGCATCAGCCAGGAAGGGATGGAGAGAAGGGGCTTTATCCTTGCTTGTGGCCTCTGAGTGCACTTCTGTCTTCCTTTCTGGGCTGCAAAACCTGCACAAAGGCACTTGGGGCTGTTTGCTGGTTATTTTGTGCTCTCCCTGCAGCTTCCCACCTGCGGTTTCCTGGCTTTCAAGGTGTGGAGGTTAATGGTTGTCTGTGGCTGGGATTGTGCTGTAGTGCCCAGCAGGGATGAGGCTCAGCTGTGGTGCTGCTGCAGCTTTGGGGAGGCTCCCAAAACCTTGCTCTTATTGGCTGCACCATGTAAAAATAGAGCAGCTGGAGCAGTGACAGAAGTTCATGACAATTTTTAGAATTCGCACTATTTCAGCATTTTTCCCTGGAATGGTGCTCGTGCCTTTGGAGGGGGAATTGCTTCCTTGCAGTTGCTCTAAGGTTCAAAAGCTGAATTCATGTCCTCAGCCTTAAATGTGACCTGCTTTGAGAACTTAACCCTCCTGCAGTTTTGTTCCCAGTATCCCTGGAGTCCAAACACTGCACAGATGTGGTGGCTACGTGGAGCTTTGCTAGCTGCAAAATTTAGTGAAGTGATTTTATTTTCAGGCAAAATAGCTGAAAGCTGAGCTATGAGACAAAAACAGTCTGAAACTCAAATTTTCTGTTCAGCTCCTCCCTTAATTCAGCTTTTAGCTGAAGGGGAAATTCATTATTTTTCCCTCCTGTTCCAGAGAAGCTGTGAATACCTCAGGGTGTATTCCTTAAGCCTTTTCCAAAACTTCTAAAGATAACATTTTATATCCAAGAGTTCTCTAGAGACCTTTGAGTTTTACTGCTCATTTTTTCTCTGAAAGAACGCAGTAAATTCTGCTTCCTACACACATGTAGAACTCTTTGCTGGGTCAGGTTTAAGCTGATCATGTTTTCTTGCTAATTTTTGACTCTAGTGTGCCCATATATACATATCTAGTTGAAATGCACTGAAATTTTTTTTTAATATTTCCCAGTTACTGTTTGACAGCCCAGAGAGTAAACAGTTTGTTACAAATAATGAAGTTGATAACATTAAGGGGAACACAGGACTGCACTTAGTGCTCCCTTTGGCCAATTTTCTTGAATGTAAGATTTCCAGAAAAGTCAAAAACCTCAGAAGGAAAGTCTGGTTTTAATAAACCAGTAAGAAACAGTTTAAATGTGCGACTTTTCTAGCCAAATTTGAATGTCTATTAACTGAAGTTGCAGCCAGTAGAGAGAAACACAAACATGGGTTTGACCTTGTGATTGTGTTTGGATGTCGCTCAGGCTCAGGAGCTTGGGCTCTTGTCTGTTCCCACAGCCTGGCAGGTGTAAATATTAGTTCTGTTCCTGTTAAAACCTGGAGCCTGATGGAGCCTGGGTTAGCTTTTGGAATAGACTTCCACTTTGAATGAGGCTTTGCATATGTTACAGTTGGTTGAAAGAGAACTAAATAACAAGCAAACCTCAGCCCAAACTATGAGTCTTTATAATAAAAGCATTTTAGACAAGGTTTTTAAACAGAAAAGTGCCAGAAATGTCTTAAATCCAAGCTGCTTATGTACTACATATGGTTCTTAGGACCATGAGGCTTTGTTCAGGCTGGTCAGCACTTGGACACTTCCCGTTGATGCTGAGCCCTAGAGGAATGTAAAAGATTTATGGGAATAGGAAATCCATTTTGTGTGTTCACTTAATGCTCATAGAACACCAAGGCACAGAACTAAAGTGGCTCTTGTTCAGATTGCCTGTGACAGTCCTGACAGTTCTAGACACAGTACCAGCCTCTGGCCCATAGGCTTTTGTTGGCTGTATCCTAAAATGTCAGCACATTCTCTCTTTCTCTCTTCCAAAACTTGAGTTGCTACTAGGTGGTACCAAGAAAACCAGGAAAGGAAAAACCAGAAAACGGAAGAAGGGCAGAAAGAGAATGTGATGCAGCTCCAAAGAAGCTCAGCTCCCCGCAAGACGTGTGTTCTTTTATAGCAGCAGGAATTTTTGCTGGCTTCCAGGAGATGGTACAACACAAATGGCTGCCTGCACCTGGAAGCTATTAAAGTGCTTGTTTTGAGTGCACCTGGATTATTCCTGAACTTTATTTAATCCCTTGAAGCCTACTTTGGGGAACCTTATGATTGCTGTCAGCTGCCTTGCTGGTGATTAGCACCTATGGAAGGCAGCTGAGGTGGTGGTGGAGTCCTGGTGGGGTTCACTGTGATCCAGGACTTGCATGTCCTTTTTTACCTCTGAGGACTTGATGCTCTTTTGTGCCAGTTTCCCACCACTGGGGAATCGGTGATCATGGAGGATTGACAAACCTGGCAGCAGAACTGGAGCTATTTTGCTGAGGAGGAGGTGAAGGCAGGCAGTTCATCCCACACACACCTTTTCATCCAGGCAGCCTCAGTCCAAATCACTGCCACCACAAACAACTCAGGCTGTTCCTGGTACAGAGAGGAATTTATTCCTGATGGAGCACGTTGCAGGGAAGAGTTTGTTCCTGGTTTTAGATGGATCAATATCCCTGGTGGGGCTGGGACTCCACACCTGTGGCTACCTGAGGAGAAGGATGACACTGAGGAATGCTTGGCAGAAAACCTGCTCCTGCTGCTACCTGAATGCAAATCCCTAATGTGTCTGATCAGACCCTTATTAACGATCCAGCAGCTCAGAAGACAGTTCTGCTTCCTCCCTCAAGGGTTGGTTTGGGAGCACAGAGCATGAACGTGATCATTCCATATAGAAACAGAAAAAAATCCCTCTGGTTTTCATCCATATCCTCTGTCACAAAGCTCTTTGCCACCCTTAGGAAAAATGAGTGGCACCTTAGAGCAGTGGGTGGTGTCATGGCAGGTACTGCACTGGTTTTAGTTCAGAGAATTAAAGGAACAAGGCTGAGGACAGAAAAGCAGATTGCTGTTGTGGAATTTAAAGGGAATCATGGCTGGAGGTGTAGGCATGGCAAGCTGTGCCCCAGTACTCCTGTTAAGAGACTCCAGGAAAACCAGTCTTGTGTGTTTAAGACCTCTGGGTTTGGGAAAGGGCAGCAAATCACAGAGCACAGAGCTTGGGTGTGTGATCATGGGCAGACAGGACTGTGGTGTCGGGACATGTGCTCCTGCAGAGGTCGTGTGAGTGATTTAACAAGTGCAAGAGCACTGATACATCAGCAAGATCAGACTGTCAGCAAGATACAGTCACTTAATCTCCCCTGATAACCACAGCCAGTGTTTGGTGCTTCTGATAGAGATCTGCAATTCATCTGCTCTCTGTGAGGACAAGGAAGCAGCAAGCTGGGCTTGACTTCTGGCTGCTCCTCATTTGCTTTGCTCTTCCCAGCCTCGGGCAGCAGTTCTTCTGGGGGATTTCCTTCCCCCTGCAATCTGTACACTTCCCTTTTGCAGACAGCTGGTACTTGGACACCTTCTCTTGGGTCTGATGGCACTGCTGGGAACACAACCCAAGAACTGTGTTGCCATCTCAGTTCCCATATCCCTGAAATGTGTCTCCTGAGTATCAGCAGCCAAAGGGAGAACAGATGTGTACAGCCCTAGACACATGTATTATACTGTGTAGAGTTTACCAAGTGTCTGGTATCACCCAAAGACTGCTCTGTGGCATAGACAGTACAGAACAGCCTTTAAATTGTGCTCTGGCAGAGTTACTCTTGCCTTGATGTGCCAATCTGGCCAGGCAGAATCTTCCTGGGAGGCAGGAGCTCCTGCAGCCTTCATGCCATTGTGCTGGACAGGAGGGGAGCTGTGCAGGACTGTAACCATGCATGGTGTGTGCTCTGAATGCTAACACAAGTTTGGTGTGTTTGTTTCCTAATCCAAACAGAACGTCGGAAGCCTTGATGCATGTAGTGTGTGTTTACTGCAGCTGGAGTGGGCCACAGACCAGGTATTTAGAGCCACCTGTTCCAGTTTGTGCTGCCACGGTGTGAACGGTGCTTCTGCTGTGTCCTGACTGCTCCTTTCCTTCTGTTTTCCATAGAGAATAGTGACAAAGAAACTACCTCACTGGAAATGCCCTCATTACCAGCTTCTGATGGGTTTCAAAATCCAGTCCAGTCTTCAGGACTAAATTCCAAGATCTGTAATCCCACAAATCAATTACTTGATCGTTCTGTCTCTGCCCCTGCTTCAATTTGCTCATCTGAATCCAGCCTCACAGAGCCCATTGATCCTAGAGCCGTCAAGACTTCTGACTCTTCACCTGAACACCAGATAACCCCAGAAAAAGAGCATCCTCTGGTATTACAGCATCATTCCAATAGCTCTTCCTCAACAAATAATGACCCCTCTTCGCACACTGGAGATGGAACCTGCTCCAATCCAGCTTGCCTTTCACAGAAGACACTCAAAGAAGCATTTAGTGCTGACATTTTAAAGGAATGTAATGCTAAAAGACAAGATCATGGTCAGGAACTTCCTCTGGAAGTGGCAAAAGTCAATTTGGCTGATGCTGCTGCCAAGCACAGGCAGGATAAAGATGTCTGTCTGTCTTCAGAGCAGGAGCAAAAATATGAGCTTCCTACAGACCATCGGATGTGCAAAGAGCCAGAAAAGGAACATCTTGAGGAGCAAACTGAGACAACTGACCCAGAACCTCCTAGCTGTGTTGGTGGGGTTGAGAAACCTGCTGTGGCAGAAGCCAAACAGCCAGAAAATCCTCCCATGGAAATGAGAGCTGGACTGGAGAGAACAGGTCTTTCCTGTGTGAAAGGGAGTATCCAGCTGTCAGCTTCCTGTAGCCATGTGCACGTGGAAGCCTCCATGGAAATAGATGCAGTGGAGCAGGCTGCAGCTGAAGTGCAGAGCTCAGCAAGGCAGCAGGGGCAGCAGACTGAGAACAGACATGTATCCAACCTCAGCTCAGAGGCCTTCTCCATGGAGGTGGAGTTGCTGAAGTCTCCGTCCTTGAGTGATCCACTCTCCACCAGTGATGTCCTGCAGTCTAAAAGCACTGGTGAAATCCCTGCAGATTATCATGAGTCTGCTAATTTGGCAGCAGACAGCTCTTCCCCTTCCAGCACCCAACAGCTGGACACAGATCCAGGAAGACCTTCAGAAGAACCATGTTTCCCTCTAGCATCAGCCTTGAAAGAGCTTCACAAACTCTTGGTTATCAGTCGGAAAGGAGAATGCAAGATCCTTGCCTCTGAAGTCTCCCAGCTGGAAATGGTTCCCAGAGAGCCAGCAGTGCAGCAGAAGGGGCTTCCTGAAGGTGAGCAGGAAGGCTCGGATCCAGCCAGCCAGGAACAAAGCTGTTCCTCTGCTGAGGTGAGGTCTGACCCTGGAGGAGCAGAGGGGAGCCAGCCTTGTGATTCTGGCAAAGAGCACATCAGCACCCTGCCCATCAGTCCTGGGCAGCCTGTGCTCAGGGGAGGTGCTTTAGAGGGGCAGAAGGGTTCAGGTAAGAGCGATGTGGTCATGCTGAAGTCTGCAGCCACCTCTGGCCAGCAGCAGAGCCCAGAGCAGAGGGAGGTTTCGGCAGGAGGTTCTCATTCTCAGAGTCCACCTAGTCCAACTCTGGAGCAAAGCACACCAGTTTCCTCCACACCTGCTTCAGATGAAGGAGCACCACAGGACACTCGGAGCCTGTTCACAGGAGCACCTGGGAGAAGAAGCAGTGCTGTTCCTGCAGGTCTGTGGCCGGTGGGTGGGAGTGAGGAACCACGGCTGAGCCCCCCAGCTGCCTACACCAGACTGACCACAGGGGCTTCTCCACGCCCTGCTTTCCCCGAGGGTGATGTCGACCGGATCCTTAGTGCTGGTTTTACCCCACAGGAAGCTCTCCAGGCCTTGGAACAAGCGGGTGGAAATGCAGATCTTGCTCTTCTCATTTTGCTAGCCAAGAGCATTGTTGTTCCCACATAACTGTGGAAGAGGGAGCTGACTGGGGGATCTTTTCTTCTACAGGAATATCTCAATTGCACACCACAATGGACGAGCAGAATGTTGAGCCAGATTTTTTTAATTATTTGCAGCCAAAGTAACACATTGCTTCTGTTTCACTCGTTAGATTTGGGCTTTGAAAGGAAAGAAAATGTCCTTGCATTGTGTGGACAGGATAGTTTTTAATCATGTATACTGGATTAAAACTACTGGTTTTATTTAAATGTACAATTTTAGAATAACCTGCAATGATACGAATAAGAAGCAGCAGCCACTGCGCTCACTGCCCTATCTGGCACAAAGCAGGTTGTGATGGGAATTGGCCACAGGTGCACAGGAGGAGAGGTGCACACCGAGTCCAGTGTGGAATCTGCATTTGTTGCAGCTCCTTGGAACCCAACATCCAGCTGTTGAAATTATTCTTGCAGCTACTGAAGGTGTGTAGATGCTCGTGGATGCATAAGGCTTTGCCAGAGGAGCGAAGGGGTTTTTTGGGAGTGTGGGTTTTTGTGTGTGCACAGGGAAGGCTGATGCTTATTTTTGCCAAACCCTTTTATGCTTTGATTTAGAGCTGGACTCAGTGATTCTTATGTGTCCCTTCCAGCTTAGAATATTCTGTGATGCTCTTGGGCCAGTGTGTTCCAGTTTACAACATGGGGATAGAAGAAGGGAAGGGATAGAATTTGGTGCTACCAAAACTTATAAGATACATTTTAACTTATTTGGAGATGTGCTGGTATTAACTGTAGGGATGGGGGGGAGGGAGAAGGAGTATTGACATTTTTTTCTAGCCTTGCCCTCATCATGTTTTTCCTCATGCAAAAAGAACAAGCTCAACCAGTTTAAGGCTAAACCTTTATGATGAATTTCCTTAACAAACCAACTGTGTGTTATGGCTCTAAATCTCCCTGTGCCCAGGGAGGAACAAACTTCATCTCAGTGGCTCCAAGCAGGGCTGTGATGGGAGGAAGGAAGAATCTGCTTGGCTGTGGTTTGTCTGGATGTCCGGGGTTGATTGCCCTCTTGGCTGTGGATTGCTATGGTTGCATCTTGGACCTCCTCAAGAGTGAGGGCTCCATTTGTTCAAATGCTCTGATGTGGCTTCTGCATTACAACCATCATGGCCTTCTGGGCTATCTCAGGTGAGTCACCTGAGTGCTGAGGCCTCACTGAGGCTGTGCTGTAGGAAGCCCTTTCCAGATGCTTTTTTGAGGGGGAAGAACTCCTTTGTGATGCTCTGCAAAGTCACAAAGCTCTGTCAGGGCTGGGGACAGGAAAGGAAAGCATGGCTGAAACCAAATTTTAAGTAGGAGCTTTGATTTAGTCCCACTTGCAAATCTCAGAAGTGGCTTTGTGTTAGGTGTTTGTCTTGAACTTAACACATTGAGCTAAACCTGGAGCAATGGCTCAGCAGCACCAGACATTTTTGTTCATGGCTTCCATGTGGTGTTGTCGTTGTCTCAGGCCTGTGTCCTGGTGTTTGTGTTCCCTGTTGCTTTAGCAGGTCTCCTGTGTGTGTGCTAGGCTGTTTTTATGCAGGTGGCATTTAAAAACAACACAGATTTGGTTTCATCTGTCACCTCACAGGAGTTTGTGCTGTCATTGAGTGCTGGTGTCAGATTTGCCTCAGACACTTGGGAGATCCTTTGGAGTAATAAAGGGCTTTTAGGCATTCCACTGTCAAATGGAGCTTCTCTGTGAGCTGGGATGGTACCATCCAGACCTGGAGCTCCCAGACAGGTCTGGTTTGTACCCCTCTGCTTGTGCCAGCAGCGGGCACTGCTCCACGTGGGAAGCAGGACCTAGTGACTCACTTGAGCCCTGCTCAAAATGAGTTACTGAGGCCAGACAACAGCTTTCTCATCTTCACCAGGCAGGTGAAGGTTTGGTTTAATATTCTCCTTGCAATGAGCACCTCAAATCAGAGGAAGACCCTCTGTGAAGGGCAACACTTGAGCTGGTACCAGGAGTACAGTATCAGCAGGTCTCTCTAGAAGCCTTAGGAAATAGGATCTATCAGCCCATTCCTGTCTGCATCCTGGTTCACCATCAGAAGCAGCAGCAGTGAGGCTCCAGATCCAGAGTGACTTCAGATGGCTGAACCTGCTCCTGATTCACACTGCAGGGCTTGGTGAGGTGGCCCTGGGAGCAAAGTAACCCAGGAGCCAGGGGCAGGTTGGCTCTCTTGGATGCAGGAGAGCTGTACCTGCACCCTTCGCCTGCAGGTGGATCTACTGCCAGCTGCTTGGAGCAGTAGATGTTGGTTACTCAGTGTTAGCCCCTTGTATCTCTGTTTTAGAAGCTGTTGCTCAGCTGGCCCAAGCGGTGCTGCTCTGCACCAAGCTGGTGAGAGGCTCTGCTCTCACAGCCGCACTGACTTAGGCTGTGCATACAGAATTTATGCTATAAAAGCTTTAGAGCATCAACCAATCTGCTTCAATTCTCACTTTTATTCCTTGTCAAATAAAAGTTTTAAATCCCACCCTTCTGCCAAAGCTGTATGGGAGCATTTATCTATAGTAACTCTCTCCAAACTGCTAGGAACAAACCCTGACCCCCAACTGATAAATATTTCTAAAACTCTTTTATCAAGTAGGTCCAAGCCTGGTGATTTAAATCTCTTCATTTTCAAGCCTTGCTTTGAGTGAATGGCTATGTCCTGCTAAATTAGTGAATAATATTTTTAGGAGCAAGATTTAGTATAAAATTGAGGCAGTGGTGAGTACTTAAGGTTAAAATAATATGTAATAGAGTGTGTGTATAGCGAATGCTGTCTAAAAGTTGTCTTTGTTTCAACGTGTGTCCTCTCTGCTGCATGCACACACACACACACACACATCCTCTGTTCAGCCTCTGGCAGTCCCTGTGCTGGTCCCTGTGCTGACCTGGCCCAGAGTGGGAGTGTTTATAGAAAAGGAGGGATGGCAGAGTGCTATGGCTTATTGGCTACAGTGGGGATAAAGGTACCACCAACAGCTGTTTGGGTTTCCAAGGAGCCAGGTATTCCGGCCTAAAATCAGGCACTTCATTCTTTCCTCTTCCCCCTCCTCATTAACCACTGCTGCAGTGTCCTCATGTCAGCTCACTTAACAAAGGGATTTCACCATGGAAGTCCAGCTCTAGAGAGTAAAGCAGTGCTCGTAAACTGCTTTGTAAAGCTGCCAGCACCTATGGGGACCCATGTGGGTCTGTTGAGCTTTTATAGGTGTGCCCTGGAGCCACTTCAGGTTTCTGAGATTCACTTTTTTCCTTAAAAATACTGAAGAAATTCACCTGGCCTCTTTGTGACTGCGTGTTTGTGTACACGAGGCCATAGGTGAACACAGAGGTGATGTTTAGTGGAATCCCAACATCTGGAAGTTTCTGGGCATGGGTGATTCTGACAAGAGGAGGGAATATTCCTGGTGACCGTTCCTGGCACGTTTACCTGTTGCAGGACAGAGCTGAGCTGTTACCGTGACAATCTCTGCCTCCTTGCTGTGTATGTTTAAGTTTGGATGTAGACACTCGGTCTCCAGGACTGTTAACCTTGTATGTCCTCCATGTTCTCCGCTTCCATCTCTCCCTCTTGCCGTCTCCTCTTCTCAAAAGTAGCAATATTTAAGTGTACTTGCTGAACGCTCAACTTCAGATCAGTTTTCTGTAAAACTATGCCATTGATGAACAACAGGAGGAGCCAGTCCTAGAGGCTTCTTCACCAGACTTGGACTTCCTGCCAAACAGCTGCCCAGAACTCTTAACAGAAATTCAAAGAGGAGAAATCCAGAGGTGTTTCTGCCTGCCTCTCTTGGATGCCAGCTTGGGAAACGAGGTCAGTTTCACGTACATCATTCCCCTCTGAAGCACTTAAGAGATTTCTTCCTGCACTGTGTAGATGAGGCTTAGTCCATGATCCAAAGCACAGCGGTTTGGGTCACACTTTGACTGATGCTTCAGAGTTTTACAGACTCACTTAGGGAACTTGAGGGAATCAATACTCAGGAATCCTAAAGCTGGTTGCATTTTGTGTCATTGACTCTTGTGGGTTGAACACACTGTGGCCTCGCAGGCGGCTGAAGAGAGGAGTGGGTGTGTCATCAATGGGATGTGGTTCTGCCCAAAGTAATACACACTTGATTCTTTTTTTGATTTTTTTTAATATTGGGGGACTGTTTATCAACAAATTATGTGTAAAAAAATTTGATATTTAAAAAAATGAATAAACACTTTATCATAATGTTGCTTGGTAGGTCTATCTGTATTTCTGAGGTTGGCAGCACTGCACTCAAATCCTTCACTACCATTTTTCCCAAAGCCAATGGATTTTTTGGATTAATGGACATTAAAAACAATTGGCATTTAAAGACCTGGAAAGCTCATGAGAGTTTTAGTTAGAAATTACTTTTTTGAAGTCCCATTCTCTTAGTGTCACATAGTAGAACAGGTTTTAGTAGGGAGGCATAGAGTATATTCCTCCTCTGAAACTTGCGACATAGTCACTGATCCTAAGGTCCTTTCACAGAGGAGCAGTTCCTTTTTCAGACCCAGAAAAATTTCCTCTTTTCCTTGAGACAGCACTGAGGTTTTGGCTGTTTTAAATGCCTGCTAACCAGAGCTGTGGGTGCTGGTGCCAGGTGAGAGAGACACAAACACATAACACAATGGGTTATGATTCAGTGACTGTGACAAACTGGGCAGTGGTTTTCTCCTCACATGTCCAGAGTTCTGCACGTGATGCTGGTGTCACTGTTAGAGCTAAGTGAGGTCATTAATTATCATGCAAAACTGCATTTTGAACTCAGCTCTCAGGGTGGGAAAAGGGAAGGTTTGATGTGTGGGCTGCTACAGCATCATCATACATTGGCCAAAGGTTTGCTGCGATTTCTTCTGCTGGGAGATTTAAGGATTGAACACTCTGGTTCAAAACTATTTTGAGCACTTGAGCCTTTTCTGTTCTGCTTGATGAAGATGGTTTTATTTTGGCAATATATAAAAATTTTGATTAATGACACAGTTGTATTCATGTTTAGGGTTGTCCCAGTCAGAATTGGCCTGATGTCCTGAAGTTTAACAAGGGTAGGCTGTGGCTGCCCCATCCCTGGAAATGCCCAAGGCCAGGCTGGGCGGGGCTTGGAGCAGCCTGGGATAGTGGAAGGATGAGCCTTAAGGTCTCTCCAAGCCAAAACATTCTGGGATTCCATGAAGTGGGGCATTAGCACCCTGAAATCTGCAGCTTTTATACAGCCAAGAGAGGGTTAGGCCCTGTGCAATAAATCAACTTCACGTTGATGTTTTCCTTGGTTATCTATTGTGGGTCTTTAGGAGTAGAGCTCTCTCCTAAAAACTTCCTGCAGAGGCCTGGAGTTTCAAAATAACAGCTGAAGGTTTTTTGAGCAGTCATGTGGATGCAGTGGCTGCATTAAGAGCAAGAGTGGGATGCAGAGAGGTGAGTGTTCCTTAATGCAATTTCCTGCCTCAGAATAGTTGAAGGAATGGTCAGCAGAAGGAACATGACTGAGCCATTGCTCAGGAATCCTGTAGTGCCTCCCATCAGCTGGTGCCTGGCCCCTCTGCAGTCCCATGTCTGAGCACGTGCCTGGTGTGGCTTTGCCCAGGTAACCACTTTTTTTGGGCAGGTTTGTCACCAGAACTTGGGAAATCCTGCTGGCCCACCTGGCTTTTGAGTCACTGACCTTCCACTGATTGTCTGCTCTGCGTCATGCCCTGGGGGTATGCTGGGGGTGCTGGACCCTGGCAGTGTAACCACTACACTGTGACATAATTACCTCCAGCAACCACACGTGCTAATTACAAGGTCATGCCTGCCAGTAAAGCACTGAGTCAAACGAAAGGATGTGAGTGGTTGGTGACTGAAATCCTTCAAAACAGCTACTGCCAAAGGAATGTCTGGTTCCCAATCTCTTTGTTATCAAATGGAAATGAAAAGGACTTGAACACAAAGCCACTTGTGCCTGTGGAAATGGAGGTGTGCTCACAGGGCTCACTGTCCTTATAACCCAGCAGTTTCTTCCATGGTTTTCCTAATACTAATTTTTTTTTTTTCCTACTGAAATCCATACTGCAATTCCTGAAGTGTTTCTTGTGCCTCTTTAATTTCCCCCTGGATCACTGGCAACATTACTGAGGTGCCCTTTGACTGCACTGCATGAGGTGGTATCTTAGGAGTATTGTGCACATAACACACCTTGTTGCAGGAGGTGATTCCCCTCAGTGACTCGCTCTGTCCTTCTTCATTCTCCATCCATGACAAGCACCTGATGGCTCTTCTCCTCGGGGATCATGTTCTCCATGCCAACTTTGGGCTGCAAATATTGAGCAAAGAGTTAAAAATCTCTTGGGAAGAGGGTGGGAAGCTCCCACACAGCATGTGGTGGGAGTAGGATGGATCCTCCCAATCTTTTCCAAGGAGAATGGGAGCTGTGTAAATGCTGTGAGTGGGGAATTTTCTACGTAAATCCATAATTGAGTGGTGGGTGCTTTAAGGGTATAACCAACTGGTTTTACTCGAAGTAAAACAAATACTTGGGGCATTCAAAACATTCAGGAAAACAGCAGGACACCAGGAAGTCGGTTTTACCACAGAATCCAGAATGATTTGGATTGGAAGGGACCTTAAAGCTCACTCCAAAACCCATGGGATTATACAGGTGTAGATGCTGTACCTGGTGCCTCCGGTGTAAGGAGGAATGCAAATAGATGCACATACCTGCTGGTGCTGTACAGCTCGTTTGCCTTATACTTTAAATCCTAAAATTCACCAGGAAAGAATAAACTGGTGTGTGGGATCTGTGGGGCTGCTTTACAAGCAGCTGACTTCAGTCTCTCCATCGACTTGTTGGGGATCAGGCTTGGGTGTTTCAGGCTCAGCATTTGTTCTATTCCCCACATTAAAACCCTTCACCTCAGCCTCAGGTTTTATTTATATTTATTTATAATTTATCTTAAGTCTTTTTCCCAACTCTTGTCTCTGTCCTGTGATGGCAAGTGGGGCTTGTATTTGAGGTTTTTAGGAACTTTTCCCACCAATGGAGGTTTGGACTGGTGATGTTTTGAGAACAATAATGTGGCCCATTTTTGGATCCAAGGTGCCATCCAGCACAGAGACCCCAGCAAAGAGCTGGATCCCCCATTTCAGGTTGCTGGAGCAGAACTGAAGGAAGCACTGCTGAAGCCTGAGGTGTTGGGGTGTCATATGGATCCCCCATTTTCCCCTCACCATTGATTATTTCCTTTGAGGCCAGCATCCCAAAGTGCACCAAAGCTGCAGGCTGGGCACCTCATGTCCCCAAACCCACTGTCCCCTCCTGTCCCCCTGGACTGTGAAGGAACCAACATCTCCCCTTACCTGCCTCACATCCCCTCCTTGCTGTGAGAGAACCAATGCCTCCTCTCTTGTGTCTCCTCACTGTGTCAGGGTGGACCCAAGGCCATCTCCCCTCATGCCCCTCAGTGTCCCCAGTGCCATCTCCCCCCACGTCCCCTCACTAATCCCAAGGCTGTGCCGCCTCCTCAGTGCCCTCACGGTCCTCAACATCATCTCCCCTAATGTCCCCTCACTGAGTCCTGGGATTTGAGGGACCCAGTGCCACCTTCCTTCACTGTCCCCTCATATGTCTCCACGCCATCTCCCCTCAGGGGCTCATGAGGGCTCGACCGCCATCTCCCCTCAGGGTCCCTCGCCGGGTCACGAGGGTGGCGGGGGCGGGCTGGGTTCGGCTCTGTTCGGCTCCACTCGGCTCTGTTCGGTCGAGCTGCACTCGGTTTGGCTCCGCT